TTATATTATATTACAGCTTAAGAGAACGCATCAATCACTGAAGGTCTAGGTTGTGAGTCTCATATCCTTATCCTTCCGTGGTCCTGTTCAACACTTAACATTAGTGCTAGTGTAATCCTTCAGTCAAAGACCAACTGAATCGGGAATACACTACAGTCTTTTTCCAAGTGGGGTCTCACTGCCAGTCTAGACTGTGAACGAATAGTTTAGTCTTATAAGGAACCGATAGGTGATCTTTCCGTTCGAAACTCTTCGAACCACACTATCTCAATATAAGACATGGAGTATGTATTTAAATAAATAAACTGCAAACATATGTACTTTGACCGAAACATGATTGCCAGATCAAATTGGAATTGATAGAAACTGCAAAACACAACTTTTACAGCATACCTCTAACAAGACTCTCTCTCGGGACCTCTCAAAATCGTCATCGGATACCATACAGATAGCCTTGACAGCTACCCTTAGAAAGGCTCTTCCTAGCTTGCATAGAAGAGATGATGCACAGTCCTCAACAGACTGATCGGAAACGGGGAAGAGACTGACTTCACGCTCCTGGCACCAGATGTCGGCTCGATAGTGAGTGAGCCAGTCCATGCCCAAGATCACATTGAAGTCCCGCATTTCAATAACTTAGCAGTCGGCCTCCAAAACATGCCCACCAATACTAACCTGAAGACCAGGGACCATAGAATCGGAGATAATAATTTTTCCCGAGGACTGGATAACCTCGAGAGGATCACAGTTGCACACATTATCAATGGATAGGGCCTCCAAGCATTGAGAAGATATAAAGGAATGAGTAGCCCCAGTGTCACATAACGCAAAGATAGGCACATTGGATAAGGAGATCATGCCAGACATGGTACCTGCGTTGTTGGCTGCCTCGTCGTGAGCAATGGTATAGACACGAGCCTGACCCCCAGCCCTCGGCTGGTGTGGTGGGAGCTGCATGTGCTGCTGCTTCTGGTAAGGTGGAGAAGGAAGCTGCTGCTGCTGATGGGGCTGCTGATAAGGCTGCTGCCTCGGGGTTTCGGGGCAGTGGCTGAAGAAGTGACGGGGCTTCATGCGGTTGGAGCAGATCTTCTGGGTGAAACGGCACACTTAGGGCATTTCGGGTTCTGACCATGGGCAGCTGGTGGAACGTGACGGCGGTCTAGTGCTCCACGCTTTCCCTTCCGGTTATCCCGACGGGAATCAAACTTTCTCTTGCCCGAACTCGAGCCGGGCGGTGTAGAGGAAATAGGCTGAACTAGCTGAGCAGAAGGGACGGAAGCATCGAGAGTCTAATAACTCTCAAGCTGCACGGCTCGGATAATGGTCTCATCAAAGGAAAGATTTCCCTGGCTGGAAACATGCATACGGAGAGTTCGATTCAGTCCATCCCGGAA